ACCAAAAAAAAAAAAAAAAAAAAAATTTGCCACGTATGGCCAGATGCAGTGGCTCACGCCTGTAATCCCAGCACTTTGGGCGGCTGAGGCGGGTGTATCACTTGAAGTCAGCAGTCTTGAGACCAGCCTAGCTAACATGGTGAAACCCCGTCTCTACTAAAAATACAAAAAATTAGCTGGTCTTGGTTGGTGCTGGACGCCTATAATGCCAGCTACTCAGGAGGCTGAGACAGGAGAATTGTTTGAACCTGGGAGGCGGAGGTTGCAGTGAGCTGAGTCGCCTTGCACCACTGCACTCCAGCCTGGGTGATAGGCAGGTATGGTGGTGTGCACCTGTAATCTCAGCTACTCAGGAGGGTCACTTGAGCTTAGGAGTTCCACACCACCCTGGTCAACATAGTGAGACACCGTGTCTAGAAAAAAATAAAGTGAGCTGGTGTGCTGGTGCTGGGCTGTGTCCCAGCTACATGGGAGGCTGAAGTGGGAAGATCGCTTGAGCCTGGGAGGTTCAGGCTGCAGTGAGACGAGAGTGTGCCACCACACTCCAGCCTGGGGTGACAGAGTGAGAATCTGTCTCAAAAAAGAAAAAAGGCAAGGGCCAGGCGCAGTGGATCACCCCTATAATCCTTTGGGGTTTTAAAGAAATTTTAAAAATTTGGCCGGGCACAGTGGCTCAAGCCTGTAATCCCAGCACTTTGGGAGGCCGAGGCGGGTGGATCACAAAGTCAGAAGTTCGAGACTAGCCTGGCCAATATTGTGAAACCCCCGTCTCTACCAAAAATACAAAAATTAGCTGGGTGTGGTGGTGAGCACCTGTGGACTACAGGGAGGCTGAGGCAGGAGAATTCCTTGAACCTGGGAGACAGTGGTTGCAGTGAGCCAAGATCACACCACCACACTCCTGTGTGGGTGACTGAGTGAGGCTCCGTCACACACATACACACACACACACAAAGAGGCAAGGAAGCCAGGATTTTGTCCTGGGGGTCTCTGGGGAGCCATGTGAGGGCTGTGAGTGGGCGGGGGGCAGGAAGTGCTAGGTGCAGAAGGACCCCTGAGGAAGGGGGGGCAGAGCAAGGGCTTCGGTGGGAGGCCAACTGAGGGTCCGGACAGGGGACCTGAGGCAGGGGTCGTGGCGGGGAGAGGACGGAACAGCCGGGCTGCAGAGGGCTCACCCTTCCACTCGAGGTTTCCGCGGCCCCTCTCCAGGTGCTCCCGCAGCCGGTACGGGCAGGAGTGTAGCAGGAAGGTGAGCTCCTTGCTGGCCGCCTTGTCCTGCTGCTGCCACCGCTGACTGATGGCCAGGGCCTCAGGCCAGTCCCCACCCCAGGTGCCCTGCTTGAGGTCGAAACTCATGAACTCCTCGCCGTTGAGGGCGAACTTGGCGGTGGGCACCGAGGCGTTGTCAGGACCCAGTTCACAGCCCAGCAGCCCCTGCAGGGTGTAGGGACCTGGGGCCCCCACACGCTGGTAAGCGGGGCCTGGGAGCACGGCCCCAGCCTCTCGCCCCTCGAGACCCAGGAGTCTGAGTCTCACCTTTGCCATCCAAAGCTTTGAAAGCTTCCAGAAAGAGCTTCTCCTTCATCCTCAGATCTGTGGTTTCTTTCTCCCAATACCAGGACACCTGGTTTTCCCAGACCCACGCTCCACAGGGCTCCGCCTGGCCCCGAAGGCTGCTGTAGCTCAGGTATTGCTGCGGGCCCAGCCAGCCCGACACCCAGAAGGCGGGAGTCCCCGGGGCAGGCGAGGACACTGCGGTGAGGTGGTACAGGAGGGAGAGGTGGCTTTCTGCAGACAGAGACAGAGCTGAAGCAAGCACACGGGCGGGGAACTAGACTGCAGTGGGACAGAGACACCCAGGGAGGGAGAGGAATCTATTATGGAGGGAGGGGGACAGATTCCGAGAGAGGAACAGAGACCCAGAGAGAGGAAAAGAGACCCAGAGAGAGAGGGGGACAGAGGCCCAGAGAGAGAGGGGGACAGAGACCCAGAGAGAGAGGGGGACAGAG